CTCACCTCAGCCTCCCAAAGGCACGGGATTACAGGCTGAGCCACCGAGCCCGGCTTATTTTTATTTTTGAGGAGTAGTCTCACCCTGTCACCCAGGCTAGAGTGCAGTGGCACACTTACAGCCACTGTGGCCTCGACCTACTGGACTCAGGTGATCCTTCCGCCTCAGCCTTCCAAGTAGCTGGAACTACAGGCACGCGCCACCATGCCCAGTGACACACTACCTATTCTTATGAAGCCAGCAGACCTACATCTCAGGATTTAAAGCCAAAACACTAGAAAGATTATCCACCAAACCTCACACTGGATGGTACATATTAGGAAAAGAAAATTTTAGTCACTAAAACACAGAAGAAAAAGTTTCCACAATTCAACGTAACACTGAACACAACACTGTACCTAAGAAACGTCCCTTGGGTTGGCCTGAGGAGGAATGAACATTTCTCTTGATGCCCATTAGTAAATGGATTCGCGATGCTAACGGGTGCTTCCTCCAGCTTCATGGAGCCCACATTCCCCTGGCAGAGGGGGCAGCACAGGGGCACACTGAAGCTGTAGATAGACTTCTTACAGTGGTTGAATTGAATTAAAGACTTTCCGGCCTCTGCGCCGTGCATAGCGTTCACCTCCTGGGCTACTAGGTGAGGCTTCTGGAGTCTTCCTTTTCCTCATTGTACAGCTGGCAAAAGCTCTCCGCCCCAGGTAACCTGATCAACAATGATGTCATCTTGATCGACAGCTCCAGAAGTCAAACCAGGTAGGATTAACCAGTAACCAGGCCGCCCCATGAACCCGTTTCTTAAAGAGCTAGTTTTCATTTGTGCTGCTTATTGCAACTGAAGACAGCCAGCTCTTACTCATCCTTTAAAGCTCTGCTTTTCTGTGAAAACTTTCTCAGCTTCCTCCAATCTTTTCTTGAGCTGGCGGCATGGAGTCACATTCCTACCAGAACTCTGTGAATTAGTCATCTGGTTTGTATTGCCCATTAGTCAGTGAGCTTCTTGGAATTGGAGACTAACCTTTATTTTTGCATTCTGTTGTTGCATACATAAAGTCTTACTTTAAGGCTATTTTCTTTTGACGTTTTATGTTGTAGATGTAATCTTGCTCATAAAACATTAGCAACACAGTTAGAAATAAGGATAATGGTTATCCCAAGTAAAGGATTCTGACTGGGAGAGGGCAAAGTGTTTTCTGGGGTCCAGAGCTGTTAGGATTCATTATCTGGGTGTTGGTTATATGAGAGTGTTATGAAAAATTGTCAAGCTGTGCATTTTGCTATATGCACCACACTAGTTTTCTTTTCTTTTCTTTTTTTTTTTTTAGTTGGAGTCTCATTCCATCACCCAGGCCGGAGTGCAGTGTTACACTCACAGCCACCCCAGCATCGACCTGCTGGCTCAGGTGATTCTTCCACCTCAGCCTTCCAAGTAGCCGGAACTATGCCCGACTAATTTTTTGATTTATTGCAGAGATGAGGGCTTGCCAAGGTGCCCAGGCTGTTCTCTAATCCGTGGGCTCAGGTAATCCCTTCACCTCGGCCTCTCAAAGTGCTGAGATTACAGGCTTGAACCACTGCACCCAGCCACAAAAATGCTTTTTAAAAAAAAGGACAGGCACAGTGGTTCATGGCTGTAATCTCAGCACTTTGAGAGGCAGAGGTGGGAGCATCGCTTGAGCCCAGGAATTCAAGACAAGCCTGGACAACATAGCAAGACCCCATCTCTACAAAAAAATTTAAAAAATTAACTGGGCATGGTGGCTCACACCTGTAATCCCTATATTTTGGGAGACTGAGACAGGAGGATAACTTGAGGCCAGGAATTTGAGACCAGCCTAATCAACATAGTGAAACCCTATGTCTACAAAAGATTTTTTTAAAATATTAGCCTAAGTCCTAGCTACTTGGAAGGCTGAGGCAAAAGGATTGCTTGAGCCTAGGAGGTTAAGGCTGCAGTGAGTTATGATCGTACCACTTCACTCCAGCTTGGGTGACAGAGTGAAACCCTATCTGTAAAAAATAAAGAAAGAAAGCCATGGTAGCATGTTTCTATAGTCTCAGCTGTTCAGGAGGCTGAGGCAGGAAAATTGTTTGAGCCCAGGAGTTTGAGGCTACAGTGAACTATGATCAAACCACTGCACTCTGGTCTGGGCAACAGGGCGAGACTCCATCTCCGAATGAATGAATGAATGATATGCCAAAATGTAGAAAAGTCCATCCTCAGTGCTGTAACATGAGAATGCTCATCAGACTCACACAAGTAGAAAAGGCCTTAGAAATCATTTCAGCCACCTTCTCTTGTTACAGGAAAGGCAGAGAGGTATAACTAGACACCCAGCTCAGGTGATGAGGCCCTGGGATGATTCATTATTCATATAAACCACATGGCTTGTGGTTTGTTAGATTGCTTGAGTGACCCAAACTAAGTTGTATGTATTTATGTATGTTCCCAGGGGAGTAGATTCAGGTTGTCCTGCACACACGTTCCCCCAGGCTACTTTTGATTGAGAATATATTTATCTTCATGACACCAACACCAAGAACTACTGCTAACCTCACGAAAAGGGACTGAGGTACTATGTCTTAATAAACATTTTTAACAGACTAGCATTTCTCTTCAACACAGACATCTTCAATCTTTTCTTACCTTGTCTCTCTCTCTCTCTTTTTTTTTTTTTTGATTCGGAGTCTCACTCTGTCGTCCAGGCTAGAGTGCAGTGGCACTCTCATAGTACTGCAGACTCGACCTGCTGAGCTCAGGTCATCTTCTGCCTCAGCCTCCCCCGTAGTTGGAACTACAGGTGCACGCCCCCACGCCCTGTTAATTTTTTAATTTGTTGTAGAGACGAGGTCTCGCCAAGTTTCCCAGGCTGGTCTCAAACCTCTGGGCTTAGGCAATCCTCTCGCCTCCACCTCCAAAGTGCTGGGATTACAGGTGTGAGCCACCACACCTGGCCCCTTGTCTCTATTTTTAAAAATCATGTTATTATAAAACACAAATAAAGAAACAAAACAAATGTACAGCTTAATGAATTATTTTCTTTTTTTTTTTTAGTAGGAGTCTCACTTTGTCACCCAGGCTGGAATGCAGTGGCACTCTCAATAGTCACCACGGCCTCAACTTTCTGGGTTCAGGTGATCCTTCCAACTCAGCCTTCCAAGTGGCTGGAACCACAGGTGCATGTCACCACGCACAGCTAATTTTTTTATTTATTGTAGAGACAAAGTCTCACCAAGTTGCCCAGGCTGGTCTCAAACCCCTGGACTCAGGCAATCCTCTCATCTTGGCCTCCCAAAGTGCTGGGATTATAGGCGTGAGCCACCATGCCCAGCAATGAATTATTTTCATGTGAACCCCTTGTAACTATGCAGAGCAAAAATCTAGAATTCTTCCAGCCACTTCAGAAGCCCCTCCAGTGCCCATCTCAGTCCAAACCCCCTTTCCCTCCTCCCAAAAGTAAACGCTAATCTTACTTCTTTTTATTTGTAATTTTTTATTTTTAATTTTAGTTTTTTTTTTTTGAGTTGGAGTCTCACTCTGTCGCCCAGGCTGGAGTGCAGTGGCATGCTCATGGCCACCATGACCTCGACCTACTGGGCTCAGGTGATCCTTCCGCCTCAGCCTTCCAAGAAGCTGGGACTACAGGCATGTGCTACCAAGCCTGGGTAATTTTTTGATTTATTGTAGAGATGAGGTCTCATCAGGTTGCCCGGGCTGGTCTCAAACCCGTGAGCTTGGGCAATTCTCTCACCTTGGCCACCGAAAGTGCTGGGATTATAGGCGTGAACCACTGCACCCGATTTTTTTTTTTTAATTTTTAAATAGAGATAAGGTCTTGCTATGTTTCCCAGATTGATCTCGAACTCATGGGCTCAAGCGATCCTCCCACCTTGGCCTCCCAAAGGCCAGGATTACAGGCATGAGCCACCTCACCCAGCCTAATCTTACCTTTATAATAATCACTCTTTGTGTTTCTTTTTGGGTGAATCGCCCAAGTATGCATTCATAGGTAATATAGCTTAGTCCATTTATGTTTTTTTGGATGTACATATTTTTGAAGCCTCTTGGTTCCCCTTCCTCTTTTCCTTATATCTGTGAAGCACCTGATTGTAGCGTCTTCTTTCATCTGATTGTCCTGACTGCACATCCGGGGTTCGCCACAATTCACTGCTCTGTCCTCCAAACTGGCAGCTGCTTCCAGAGACCTGGGGCAGACCCCGGTTCCATTCCCTGGGCAAGGCTGCAGGTGGTGGTGACTTCCTTCTTCTAAAAGTGGGTCATGGTTGATCTTCAACCTTTTTGACATTAGCAGCTATTAATTCTCAATGCTCAGAGATCTGTTCATTTATTGAGGGTGGCTCAGTGGGGATATTCTAAGTGCATCATTGTTTCCATGCATTAGCTAGAATAATTTCATAGGGAGACACTTGCCCTTAACCATTAGTTAGTGACACAGTGGTTCAGTCATTCAGGAAAGATTGGATAATGTGTCAGTTCTTTCACCCCACGTTAAGATAATGAGAGGGTCTCTGTCACACTCAGAAGGTGCCAGTTGATTTCATATATTTTGCCCTAAATATCGCTATGAACTCACAGATGTAAACAGATGGATTTCAACCCAATGCAACTTTTTCTTTTCTTTTCTTTTTTTTTTTTTTGACTCAGTGTCTCCCTTTGTTGCCCAGTCTGGAGTGCAGTGACATCATAATGGCTCACTGTAGCCTGGACCTCCTGGGCTCAAGTGATTCTTCCACCTCAGCTTCTCAAATAGATAGGACTACAGACACACACCACTACACATGGCTAATTTTTTGATTTTTTTGTGGAGACGAGGTCTTGCTATGTTGCCCAGGCTGATCTTGAGCTCCTGGGCTCAAGTCATCTTCCCACCTTGGCCTCCCAAAGTGCTGGGATTACAGTCGTGAGCCACCATACCTGGCCTAATTTTTCTTCTTATTGAAGCTCAAATTGTCTATCTTTAGCTTCTTCAATTAGCTCCTGAATCCTTTGTGTATGACCCCAGTATTCTCTGATTATTTCTTTGCTATGTAATGTGTCAAAATATTCCAGGTTCATCTCAGACCATTCTTGCCCCAGACCTGGAATTAGCCATTTCTCTAAGAAGCCCTGGTTTCTTTAAATGGGACATGGTATTTTAAGACTGCCATCTGCCTGCTAGTAGACTCTTTGCTATGGGGTTGGTTACGTCTCTCTGTCTTTTCAGTAGGCAGAGCAGGGTAAGTGACAGACACACATGCATACACATAAGATAAAATACTTTATGAGTTCATAACGCTATTTCCAATTCCAGTTTAGGACTCCAGAGTTTTTACTTAACCTATTGTATATTACATATGTATGTCTTGTTTTCTACACTGAAAATCTTTGTTCCCCAGGATACAAGGGATTAAGGAATTAGACTGTCCCATCATTACTCATTTGCTTTATTGCAGATTACCTTTACAACAATCTCAGAGTAACAATACTAATGTCATCAAGTCCTTTGTGATTACTGAATAGGCTAAAAAAAATTTTATGCCCACCTTCCTCTCCTTTATTTAAAGATTGTCCTATATATTCATTGCCAGAACACCTGCCGTTAGAAACAATAATCT